CGGAGGATCCGATAGCGAAACTAGGTAATAACAACGCCCTACAGTTTGAACAGATCCCGGTGTAGAAATCGAGTGGAAGTTTTTAAAAAGCGGCATACTCCGGGCCGCCGTTGAATGACAGGATTTAAGCAGGTTGGCCTACTGCATATAAATCACAAAAAAACTTCCTGATGGATACGAAAGATACGACTGGCAGTTAAACAGAAGAGGTTGCATTCAATAATGGCTTGGAGTCAAAGTGCCTGAGTTAATTCGAATACGGTACGAAGAATCGCGCATGGCGAAAGCCAAAGCTGATTCCTGGGAGTTCGGTTCGGTGAGGTGTTAAGAGTCCAGTTTCCAGGCGGATAATAAGGTATTCTGCCAGACCATCCGCTGGCTCCAAGGTGAAAAGAAGGGCAGTCTAAGAGTCTTGAGGGACTAGCCTGGTCATCTTCTTACCGAGGATCAAGACTTTCTTCGGCGATGGAGAGAGAGTTCTTTGAGGACGCCGTAACCTCAAGTAACCGCAGGAACATTTGCCTGAAAGGCAGTACGCACCGAATAATAGTATTTCTGTAGATGAAATCACGTAAGCTGTAAAGAGCTTGAAATGTGAAAAGGCTGCTCGAATAGATGAAATTTGCCATTACTGGCTTACACTGCAATGACTTCGGGACTAACGGGAGTTGAAGTACCCCTGTTAGTAATGGAGAACAGGTAGTGCTCTGATTATTGGAATATTACCTTATTGATCCTTCTAGCAAAAGTTTACACAAAGATGCTAGACAGGAATTGCCATCAAATAACTGACTCCAAGATACAAGAATTGCAGTGGGGCTTCCTGCCAGGTCGAAGCACCTCTGATAAGATAACTGCTCTGCGTCTGATTGTTGAGAAATCTTGGGAGTTTCCTATCCGGTGTACATGTGCTACGTTGATCTGGAGAAAGCCTATGACCGGATCCCACGCGACAGTCTGTGGTCATGTCTTCGAAAATATGGTATCAATTGCCAGTTGTTACGGGCCAACCAGTCACTATATGCTGATAGCAGGTGTTGCATCAGAGTAAACGGTGTTAAGTCTAAACCTTTACTCTTTTACTCTTTGGCTCTGGTCTTCGCCAAGGTTGTGTCCTGTCCCCTCTCCCGTTTGTGTTGTACACGGAGAGGATAGTCAGGTGCAGCCGAGAAGATGAGTGTATTGTGTAGGAGATGTGTAGACGATAAGGTTACTGTTTGCAAACGACCTTGTTTTTTGGCCTCTTCTGAAACTGATCTTCTGCACTCTCTGAAAAAGTTCGTCGCCGGGTGGGACCGGCATGCATATGAAAATATTGAAAACGAAATGCGTAGTGCGCTCTTCAGATTATCGGAAAGGTCGTGAAGCAGGTGGAAAAGTTCAAGTACCTCGTAACTGTATTTGCTAGGTGTGGAAAATTGGAGGAAGAGATCGACCAGCGAATTGGAGTAGCCAGTGGCGTTCTGCCTAAACTGGCCCGATCCATTATGACTAAAGCAGAGCACAGTCTGAAAACTGAACTCTCGGTGTTCAAGTCGATCTTTATCTGCATGTTTACATACGGTTATGAGTCATAGACCATGACTGAAAAGCTTCAACCCGGATACTGGCGGCCTGAAATGCGCTTTCTTAGACGAGTCGCTGGCCTTACGCGTCTCGACATGGTCCGGAATGGTGACATCCGGAACAGCCTTGGAATACAGCCGCTGCTTCTTCAGACTGAGAATTTACGGCTTCGACGGTTTGAATATGTGTTGCGAATGACTCCAGAAAGGAAGACGAAGCAACTTTTCTGAAGGCGAAGCAATTTCTTGCCACACCGACCGGCAGAATGCCCAGGGGACGGCCAAGATTAATCTGGTGCAAATATATGGAAGGAGTCTGTTCCAGACTCCAGTTCCCTTCTGCTAAAGCTCAGATTGTAGCACAGGTTCGGGAACGTGGGAAGCCACGTCTGACGCGCCTGCCTTCGCGATCCGAAAGGAGAAGCGCTCATGGAAGATGAAGGTGCTTTCAGGAGGACAGTAACTGATTTAACGAGCGATTTTGTGTTCTTATGTTATAACGTGAAATTAGATGCCTAGACTTGAATAAAATATGTACATGGGGAATATGCGAAACATAAAGCTATACATTTTGACTAGATGAAGAATGAACGATGATCGCCATCCTGCCCGTTCGTTTGATAACTTTCGTTTGTAGTTATTTAGCTTGGTTCAATGTTCGGCCAGGCAGTGAAACATTAATCTGTGTTATTCATCATATTCATCAGATATGTTATGATATGATAATCATGACTCAACCAACGCCATCCTTGTTTTGATGCAAAGCAGCAGTTTTTCAAGACAACTTCTGTTTTGTTCCGTGTCATTTGCTATGTAACTGCTCAGTGAGTTTCTTGCCATGATGCCATTTCTTTACCAGTAAAAGAAATTCCCTCGAATTTGATCAGATCACGTTCATGCCAACTATTCAGTGTGCTGGACACACCTGTTCTCATGTCTGATCTTCACCGCCAGTCTTGCAAATAACGCCTCATCATACAATTACTCTTCCAGATGGGCACATCATATTCGTAGCGCCTTGATTTGGGGAAAAGTAGGGAACAAGCAACATAGCTGCTCTTATTGCTGTTAGGAATGTTATTCAGCTCATCCACATCAGTTACCCGTCGAATAAGGCTGATATCTGCTTGTAGGATGGATGACATGTGAATATCCAACCTTACCTGATTTTTGTGGTAAACAGCCGGAATCACTAGGTGTCATCACCGTTATGTTTGTTAAACAGCCTGAATGTTTTTCGTTCATCCGAACAGCCGAGATTACGATCGCTGGTTTGCTCGAAATTTCGAACACCGTTGTCTATGATGCGTTCGTATATTTGTTTCTGAAGTAGACTAATAAACACTTTGCTGGGAAGCGTAATTCAGGTCGTGCTCTACAGTTTTGTTGTCATGTTCAAAGACTGCAGGATTAGGGTCTATTGCCTTATGGCGGACACTACTTGTTGTTCTTCGCAGTTTATTCTGTTTGCCGCCCGTTTATTCCGGTCACCTTGACAGACAGTTTTCAACCGATTCTACATCAGTTTGTCCGGCAGAAGTTGTTTGAGTGCACTTCTGTGGTGACCCAGTACGCTTAATTGTTATCCTTCGGTCCCTGATAGGCCTGTACACCTGCTGTTGCTATATTATTTTTTCGTACATCTCAAACATTTTTATATTTGAATACATGTGACTGAATATTTGTGACACTCTGGGGCGTGAATGCGTGTTTGATCCCTTTCTTCACTTCCTTTCACCTGATCGGTACGGTCGACAATATTCAACAGTCCCTACCGACCAACTCATATAACCCGTAAAGAACATCGCTGAGAGGTAATGCTGTGGCGAGGCTTAACAAGTTTTAAATTCAGTTGCTTCACCTTGAAACGCAGTTGCTTATAATTTCTCGATCTGTGACAAATGACTCGCACTCCATTGTGGTTTTGTTTTACGCTCTTGTCCAGGTTGGTCACAAGGTTGCTATTCAAAAACCATCCCCTCTCGCCTCCGTTCCATACGGCATTGTGTATTGTCGACTACATCTGAGCTCACTTTTGTGCCTAATCATATTTTAACTGTGCTAAAAGTCGCCGCATCTGTCCGTCTTCTAAAAAGTCAGTCACTTCCAGGTAGAGACGTTGCTTATAAGTTGGATTAGTCACTTCCCCTTGAGCAAAATACCGCACTGCTGCATCTTGACGATCGATTTTTGCTTTTTCATTCGTCTAATGCTGTTATGTTATGTTGAGAGCACTGTTTTAATGAAACACCCACAACGACAGTTGTACAGCTTACACCAGCTCTAGCTTCCATGTGTTAGGAAGATTCATGGCAGCACCATGGAATGAGTGACATCACGTTCTTCTCGAAGACATACCGTACCTCTCCCTAGTATCGCGGTTGGCTGAACTAAATTTGGCCTATTTGACCGATTCTGCTGGTCGAGTAAGTGCTGCAGAAGTCACGTAATCCAAGGTTACGCAATTCTCATTGTCTCTTATCACAGCAAGACAGACATCGATCAGGACATCAGTATGCAAGATCGTTGACCAAACGAGACGTAGATCAGCATTCAGTGTGGAAATCACTCCTTGCTTGCGTATGTGCGGAGAGGGAGATGATGAATCAGCAAAAGGTTGAATCGTGTATTACAACCGAAAGTTTTTTTCTCTTTTATTTGCCACAGCAGTTTGAAATTTTTCGACTAGTTATTCGTCTTTGTATATGACAGAACTTTTAATGCTTTGAGGCTAAGTTCGTCCAATCGAGTTACAAAACGAAATAAAACGACTTACATCTACCATCTGTATTTGTTTCCCAACATGATTAAGCTTTATGCCGTCTGTCTTCGGTGCGAAACGTGTGCCTGAGGTGGATGGCAGTGTTGAATGTCAGTTCGCAAATGAAGCCATATTAACATTCCACATTTGTGGTGCAGTTTTTCCCACTAATGCAGTACTACTGATTTTCTGTGTGCGATACCAAACTACAACATTCCACTCTGCATGTATCATATAGTGGTATATGTTCATTTTACGCATGTATAGTAGTAGGCATAGTAGTTTACGTATACTACGTTACAGTTTAATATAATATATAGTATGTAGATTTATCGAAAATTGGACCTGTGTAAGTATTGTGCCATATATATCTGTAGTTTATTACACGTATACTGTTGCGTATAATAAATGATAGTATTTTGTATGTACTATGCTATAATCAAGGACACTATGTTACTATATAAGCATATATCATGTATATGAGTGGAGTGTATATAAATAGAGATATCTGAGCCGGCTCTTGATCTGTTTGGAAGCTGATTGCATAGAGCTGCCACTGTGTCGTGTTGTGGTTTCGTATCCTCCTATTTCGAATAGACGAGGAAGGTTAATTTCGCACATTTTTGCACCCACTGTTATCCGTCGTTCTGTCGTGCTTCAGATTCGCCGTTTAGATGGCATACGTGATCGCTCGCGAAACAGGTGTTCGCTGCATATTGCTTTATTTACTTTTATGTAGGCGAAACTCGGTTCTGAATTTTTGGCCTCACGACTTCGTTCGTTTTCATCAGCTCGAGATATATGCCCATCTGCCGTCGTCGCCACCATCGACAGTCTCTGGAACGATCCTCTTCACCGCGCATCCCGCACACTGGCCTCCATCGACCGTCCGTTGCTGCAGGCTAGTTTGGACGACGTAGCAGCAGGAGCAAGAGGTTCGTTAGTAGCAGCAGCAGCAGCAACAACAACAGGGCGAACAGTGGTCGCAGGCGAACAGGGCTCGTCGTCCGCCTCTGCCGCCTCCGCTTCCGCCGTCGCCGCCTCCACCCCGTCCATCCCGGTTGTAACCGTGGAAACGGTCCTTAGTGCTTCGTCAGCATCCCTGAACCCTTCTAATACCGTTACAGCCTCCGTCGGCGTCTCCACTGCCTCGGTTTCTCCCACCTTCCTGTGCATCGCGTCCCCGCCGACCAAGCGTCGAAAGATGCAGGACCAGCAGCTGCAGTTGGACGTAAACACTACTTGCTGTTCGAACGGCACAATCGTCGGTCCTCACAGCGCTCCTTTTACCTCGTCCTCCTCGTCGTCGGTGTCGTGCTCGGTCGCGTCGAGGCTGAAGCGATTGGCACATGCCCATGCGGCCGTCGGCTCCCGTTCTGAGAACGGTTCGTTGTCGTCGTTCAACGCCGCAGCTGCTGCCACGTCCACCAGCCATGATATGGAACCACCTATCACCGCCGTTGAACTGTCGGCCACTGACCGCGAGATGGTGCGCCTCATTCTGCAGCACTTGAAAAACGTCGGAATGCAGTAAGTGAATTATACACGGTTTACCTCATGCTTTTTGTTGGTCCGTGGTATAAGACATGAATATATACAGATTCGGGGTGCATCAGGAATAACAGATGAACGAGGCACAGTGTCGCGCACAGTTTTTATGAACAATTAAAGACGTTTATTTTAAAAGCAAGCTTAAACATCAAAGCTTAGAAATCAAGACCAGGTCTGAAAGCAGCCAAGCTCGTTTCAAGCACACTGGGATGACGTTCATAAAGAGAAATGAAAAATAGAAGCGATGTGTTCGATATACCTGTTATACAGATTCTACAGTTGTCCCACTTGAGCTAGACAAAATGTTATAAAGTAAACATATATGAAATCTTTGAAATACAATTCCATTCATAGCGACAAACGTTTTTTCGTACATCTTCAAAGCTGGTCAGATGTTTGGCGGTGTGTTCAGTGAAAATCACTGCTAAAATCCATGCTGAATTCATGCACAACACATTTGATTAATCTACCGTTAGCGTTGTAAAGAAAATTTTATAAAATAGGACGATGGCGCGGAAAACACCGCTAAACAAAACCATTTCATTAGCTAGTGTTATCGTTTGTTTATCATCAACTTGCCGACTGTTGATCCGTGGTCAATATGGTGCAGAATCCTTCTTACCGTCACTTTCTCAATAGAAACATGGATGAAATTTATTCTCTTACGTCAGTGTTCATATCTTACAGTCGTTTATCATCTTTGGCAATTGGAATGTGTTGAAGAAAATGGACAGGCGTTGATCCCTCGGTCTTTCCTACTGGTATGTCGTTTATTCAGTTTAGCATCAGTTTGACTCCACGTCGTTCCTTGTGCTCACAATTCGTTCTGACTGTTCATCGTCTATTCGCTTCCTTTCCTAAATGGATTTATACACTTTCCTCTTCTTCTTCCTCATCTCCGTTAATAATACATTTCGTCTGACCGGCTGATTCTTAATCTGACTATATCTTTCTTAGCCGAGCTCTGTAATACTTTCCACAAATCAACCCAACTTCGTTACCAAATCTGACATAGCTGATCGGCTCTTCATTGATCCCTATTTCTACTTATGCTGTTTGAAGATTGAGTATTTCGTCCCTTCGTTTTCCCCCAACTGTTATAACTACTACGGACCATATAACGAACTTCGTAACTCAATCCGCTCCACCTTGAAGAATGCTAGGGACACGAGTTGAAACCTCGGTACAGACTAATCACTCATTCGACCGTTTCGTTTGCGTTGTATGTAAATAAATTGTTTTTTTACTGTTTTTATTTACGCTTTTGTTTACGCTTACGTGAAAACTTTCAAGACCCTTGTCTCCTTGCTTTACGCATTTCTAAACTGTGGACCTGGAATGGTGTGTCGAGCAATGTGGTGTTCGTCGTATATCTGGAGTTTGCTTCCTTCAGCAGATTGGTGTCCCTTGATGAGCTTTTCATGCTAGAAGAAGGCTGTACACATACGCAGTGTTTTTTTCTGTGTGCTTCAATAGTCGCATCCTAGTAAAAATGTTGTCGATTGTGCTGAAATTCTTTTCATCCCATGCCTGTACTGTGTTTCTACTCATTCTGAATCCTTGACAGCTGAACAGCAGTTATTAATGTACTGTTGCGCGACAGTGACAGCAAACATATTCAACAAAATTCATTAAGTCATTCTGATCAGCTTTCTGATGCATTACTTCTAGTCGTAATTAACTCTTTCCAACGCCATAGAATCCTCCCCATTTCCTCTCATCGACTGTACCTCTGAGCCTCATTCTGTTTTCCAAAATTTCTTGCCACCTGTCTTTTTCATTTCAATTATC